TAATTCTGAGATATTCGTGCAACCTAGTATTTTTTTTCTTTCATCGGGGGCAACTGTTATCTCGTCACGGGGCCTGATTACCGGAGACACACTTCAGATTTATATATTTAACCGGCGATTAGGGTAATCGTGTTAATTAACCAGTCTCGACTTAACGGTAAACAGAGCGAGCTGGCAAGACAATCGATCGAATTGAAGATACAAATATTGGCAATCGCTGGCTAATGATATCGTATCGTGGCCGAGCACAATTTCATCGTCCAAACGGGCACAAGAGGAACACCGAGGTGAATAGAATTTAATTACGAGGTAGGTGTTTACCGAGCTCTCGGTAAATACTGATACTCATTGTTGCGATATCGTATCGTTGTCGATCAGCATTTCTTTTCTATAAATAACAATGGTGGATCGTGTAACGGCATTAAATGGTATTAAACGGGACGATATTGTGAAAGTGTGCTGAACTCGAAGCGATTATATTTTTGCAAACGATGGAGATACTGCATTATCGTGTAGACTTCCTTCGGAATTCTAGGTATAGATTCTATTCGGAAACATTAAAGATTCGTTTGGAATTGGCCACCAATACCCAGCGCTACCCAAATTGCGATAAGAACGTTGATTTAAGAACCGAAGAATTGAAGAACGACTAGATTAATAAAATTAATTAAAAGTAATACTGTAACGCGATTACCACGACGCGAAATTATATATAATTATTATCTGATACCACTTGTCATCCTTACTAAAGAGTAAACAGCATTATACAATGATATTCTTCCATAACAATGGCGAAGGGTGTTAGAATCAATCATTAATGATTCACTCCTATGTTCCGATGTCACTTAATCACTCATCTAATTTCTCTTTCATTAAGCTTCTAAAACCTCGAACACATCTGTTCATCTAACTACTTATGTAATTACTTATATAATTCCGTATTTTCCTTTAACATCAATTTTCCTCTAATTATTTTCAAGCAATTCATCTCTGGTCACTAATCACCACTATAGTCATCAACGTATTAACCCTTTGAACTCGACAGTTTTTTACTAGAAATGTGCAATATTTCTCAATGAGATATATACGACGTTCTTCTACACTGACAAACGAGAAAACAGAAAAGAATTGAAATAAACGTTGAACCCTTTATATTCAGAAGTTTCTCGCTAGAAATATTTAACACTTTGCGAAGACAATATTTCTTGAAACTAACTCGAAGGAAAATCACAGGTACATCGAGGAGCGAAGCTATTTTATTCCAATATTTCACGTATCGAGGCATCATAGAAAGTTCAGATTTTACAGTTTTACCGCGTCGGATCAAGCGGTGACTGCGAGTCGCCTTTCGAGCGCGAAGGGTTAATAAACAGAACCGAATGACAGTCTCGACCAAGAATTCCTCTTTTTCCGCGCACCCTCCGTTCGACTTTTTCCATTTCGATCCGAGGAGAACGAGAGCGATAACTATCGTCGTTTATCGATAGCGCGTGGCGGTAATGGGCAGGGACGGGGCGAGGGTTGCGCCGGCCGTTCGAAAATCGTCGCGCAGATCGGATCTCCTGTTCGGGCGTGCAGCCTCTTCCGTGGGTGGCTCGGCGAGGACGTAATTCAACGTTAACGTAGCGGAAGTCACGATAAAATGACGAAGCGGCAGATAGCGCGCGGTCCCGCAACAATGAACACGATTACGGAGCCTGAATGAAAGCGGACGACGTTCGGCCACGGTGCTCGGCTCGGGGAAACATGAATCGCACAATGCCGACGCGACGGTATCTCTGAACGGCGGCGAATACATATATTCGCCTGGAAAAATCACCGGACAAACGCGACGCAGTCTCGGACTCTCCGAGCACAATCGGAAATTCGATTGTACTGTCGTTTGCCGTGCTTTTTAACACGGTCGATGCAAACGTCGCATATTTACGAGGGTCACAATCCTGTACCTCGTACAGGGAACACGAAACTGATGCTGTGGACACTGTGATTTAAAATTAGAGGACAGGGCGTCATGTTTCGAAGGTAACTCTTTTCAGTTTCATTTCCTTCATAAGATTTTCTAAGGACGAAACGTGAGTTGACACATTACTGCTAATTAGCACTTAAGAAAATATTAAATTAGATTCGAACTGATTATCGATTTAAAATATATTGCATAACGGCGTGATATCCGAGTTTATAGCGATACAGGATCTCACTGACAATCAACCGATACGCAATGTGTCAATCGATCAAGCATTGATTAAGAGAGCCATTGTTTCAATATTTCAAATACTGATGAATCATGCAAAACTGAATATAACATTTTATAATTTCGTTCCATCAGATCACAAGTGGTGAGAGTCGCCTCTCGAGTGCAAAGGATTAACCGTCCACGAGTGTCGATCGAATTCAGTGTTCAAACCGATGCGAAGAGTCGAAGAGGCACAAAGGGATAAGAAGGTAAAAGCAGAAATACGAATGAAATTGCATGTGCGTCACGGACCACGTTCCCGCGGTCTGTCACCCTCGAAATAACCGGCCGCTATCAATAACGAGCGCTAAAAGTGCCCCGAGCCCGATGATCGAATCGCCGCGCGCCGTTGCTTCATTCACAAACCTCCGGTGCCCGAAATACATTCGGAAATAACGAAGTTCCCGCGGTTACCGCCGCGAGGAGTCGCTGCATGCATGTCCTGCGTGCCGCGGCGCCGGACGGGCCGTGGAAACGAGACCGATCGCGGCGGCGAAAGCCACGGAAACCGGTCGAAGCACCGCGGATCGGCGTGTCGTCGATAAGGCTCGCGATTTAAGATCCCCGCGAGAGCCGAGCGCGAAGCAAACATTCGTTATCTCGGACGATACCGAGAACAGACTCTGTTCCACTCCGTTCCCACCCTTTGTCACTAGTAGATTTAGCGGGGCCGACGCTAGACGGGAAACGATAACGTTGAAGGTAGGCACTCTTGAAAAGGTTCCAACAAAGAGGAAGACGTTACCTAGATCAATGGTTCTCGAATCTTCGCGAGATCCATTTTCCGAGACACCGTTCCGTAAATGCAGTTCACAAGATTCGCTGTGATCTGTGTAATTGCAACTAGGTTAAACGTGTCGATGTCGAATGGGGGAGAAGTTACCTTCGATCGTCTTTCTGTGAAACTGATGAAGAATAATAGAGCATTCGTTACTAAAACAATTGAGCTTAGTGGCATAGTGGTTCTTTCAACCCTTTGTTACTTCTAGATTTAATCCTTGAAGCTGAGTTGTATATCAGTTGCTTGAATAGGAACACGGGAAACTAAGTGCTGATCTCTTGCTGTGAAATTTCAAATTTAATATATTCAAAGTTAGATGAGAAGAGAAATTGACCTCGATCGTAGTTTCCATAAAACTGGGAAAATAAGCAGCGGAAGAGAATCATTGCGTTGATGCTGGCAGCTATCTTTCAACCGTTTGTTACCCCTAGATTTCGATGAAACTGTGAATAATATATAGAAAAATATAAGACATTCGTTGTACAGATGATCCTGACAACTGGTTCCTCTCTCCAACCCCTTGTCACCCCTAGTTTTAGCATGTTGGACGTTAGGTACAAGAGAAAGAGGAACTACTGACCGCCGTTTCAATGCTGACGCAAAGAGGGAGCGAAGAAGAGAAGAAAAGAGAGCGATAGAGCCGTGCAACGTCCCCTGGATCCCGCTTTCCTACGACGGGAGCGTGACTCACCGTGTATATTAACCCCGGCGGCGTGTTTACGCTAGCCAACGGGTGCAACCCGATGGCCCCGTGTCAAAAAATCACGGTTACGTAACAGCGCGTCGCGGTTATACCCTCTCGGATATTTAGAGGTGAGTCAGACGTGGATTACGAGACTTGGCTGCCTGTTTGACCTTAATGATTTCGGTAACGGGTGTTGGCGGTCGGCTCGCTTTGAACACCGGCGTCGCGTGTACGCGGATTCGAGCGTAGACGCGTTGACGACCGGTGTCACGTTGGCGCGATCTGGATCGACGGTCGACGGATTGAGTATTTTTCTTTGAATTTCTTTCGCACTTTCTCCTCGATAACTGTAGTATTGCAATATTTGATTTGAAATGCGCTGTAAAAGATAATAGTTACCTAGAGAGCAATGCAAACGATTCTTTTTACTAACAATATTGAAGATAACTTAACAATATAATCTAGTTTAAAAATATCTTGACAAAGAAGCAAATGATGTTGCCTAGAAGAAAATTATGTTTCCTATAACACGTTAACGGTCACCGATGACTGGAGCTTCAAGATTGCAAGACAATGATTATAACTTATAAGATAACCGACGAATAAATATGTTTAGCAGCGTAAATAACTAGATAATAGCGAAACGTAAGAATTATACCAAATAAATGATAATTCTTCATGTTTGATAGGGGAAGAACGAGTGATACGTAAAACGCTGTTTTCCATGGTAGCGAACGTGTTACAGGAAATCAATATCGGTTGATCAAAATTTAAAATCACATTGAAACGAAAGAAAACGAATCTCCGACGATTTCGAAAAATTCGAAATGGATTACCGTCGTGACTAACGACCGTTACGAGCATAGCTCCTCGAGTCGAAGTGTTTACGTTCAGAAGAATATCCGCACGCCTGGAAATGAAAATAGCAACACGAACGCGGGCATGATTCAACGTCGCGAACAATGAAAACCCGCGATTCCTTGGTTCACGGAGAGGTGAAGAAGCTCGAGGAAAATTCCCCGAGACAATAGGCACGAGGAGAGGAGAAGAATTAGCGCAGCCAAGTGACACACCAGGGTTCGTGACGGAGTATCATAACGCGAGGCGGAGAGGCTAATCGCGTTCGCGGCGACGCATGTAAGACACGAGCCGCTTGCATAATTTACAGCCAGGCGAAGACGCACATGCGGCAGCGCGTGCACCGCGTGAACGCGATTCGAATCGCTGCGTCCTTATCTCGGCGAGGAGCGATACCGCGTTGCAGCCGCGCCGGGTGGCGCTTAGTTCATCGGTGAATTTAGCCTCGCCACGCTCTTGGCTTCGCTCTCCCGTCGCCGCGGACAATGCGTCGCCCCGTCTCCTTTCATCGGCGTGGAACCCGCGTACCGAGCGACTCTAGCCGTTGTTTCTTTGTCCCGCGATCGAATTCCTTCTTCCCGATTATTCAGGGAAATCCCGGAGAACATCGGTGAACTACGGAGAATGTTCCAGAAATTTGATAGAGGTCTTAAACTGTTGATCTTTTCGATCTTGAAGCTTTTTCCACTGATCGTAAGTTGATCTGTGTTTGCGTCTGCTCCGAAGTAGAAATAGCTTTCTATAATAGTATGTCGTAGGGGTTAACGATTTCTCTTTGTTCGTGACCGAAATTATTTTCGATTTCTCAGGGGAACCTCGGGGAACATCAATGAACTACGGAGATGTTCCAAAAATTTGATAGAGGTCTTAAACTGTTAGTTATAACAGTTATAAGGAAAACTTATAGAACATTGATGAACTTCGGAGAAAGTTCGAGAAACGTTGATAAGAATTTGAAACCATTGTTCTCTTCGATTCTAATCGAAGCACAGTTTTAAGTGGATCCTCTATCTTTGCTCGAGGTGTACAGAAATAGCGTTTATAACAGTTTATCAGAGTGATTAATGATGTTCCTTTGTTCCACGATTGAAATCTTTTCCGATTTAGCTGGAGAAACTTCAAGAACATCGATGAACTTCGAAGAAAGCTGGAGAAACGTTTTTGATCTTAATCGAAGCATCTTTCGCTGATTCTTTCTAAGTTGATCCTCTACCCTGGCTCAAGTGCTCCAGAAATAGCTTCTTCATAATAGTATATTAGAGTAGTTAATGATGCTCCACCGGTATCTCTCAAACGCAACAGAAGAGGTTCAAGGAAACGATTAATCTCTTGCTAGTCAAGTCTACTAGACGCTAGCCACGTCCCAGCCACCACCTTATCTCCGAGATGAAACAGCGCTTTTAAAAATACACCCACAGAACTCGAATTGTGCGATGCTCTTCGTTATTTTCGGTATCTGTTTCAGGCGAACGTGTGCGTAACCGTATTGACGAACAGCAAACTAGTGATCGAGAATATTAAGAAATAGAAAACAAAACCTACAGAAAATTCGGTAAGAAAAAACGAAAATGATCGATCAGACGAATTCCACAGCCTAGTCATCAAGTGACCTAACAGTAAATATAAGGTAATTCAACATACATTATTAAATATCTATACTTTCAATTGCTTTCAGTGATATACCAAATTTTCCACACAGATTTGTCTATTTAACACTAGAACTACCGAGTGAAATCGACTCTTTGAAACATCTCTATAGAAACTCCAAGAGTGCATCTATTCAGACTTTGATTCATAATTCAATTTGCATGTTGGCAAATCAGTTTCTTTAAAAACTCCCAGAGAAGCGTCTGCTATTTCTGTAATAATCGCGAAAAGAAGAAATCCAGTAGTAGCTAGGTGGTACTAATGTCAATTATCCTTGTCACGTATATTTACTTTCGTAAATATAATTAAGTACCAACGATATTTCCACTGTAACAGTTCTCTCAAGAAAGATGTACCATCTCTGCCCGACTCACCCTAAACTCTATTTGCCTGGTAAACTGCGTGGAAATTTCTGGAAAGACGAACGGACCGGGAACGCGGAAGGAGCGCGGCTGTCGCTCGCGATGGCGTCCGCTTAGCTCATCGCTAAATTAGCCGGGCACCCCGTCATCGGGCAAAAAAGCCCGTATCCTTCGGCTTGGACAGTCGATAACCTCCTGGGCCACTCGAGAAGATTCGACGTCCGAGTATTTATAATCGGGCCAGGCCCGGCGCGCGAAAATTTTAATCCCGGATGGAGCGTGTCCGCGGCGTTGCGGATCGGGCGGGCAAGCCTCTTGCAACAACAATCGCCGGGGCTTCCCACCGGACCCGAGCTTTTACTGGCAATAAACCGAAACCGTGACGCAAATCGAAGATAAATTTAAACGGGCACCTATGACGCGGCCAGAGAATTATTTCCTATTCGAGTTCCATTTCCGACCGGGCTGGGAATATTTCTAGGGACCGGCACGTGGTCGGCCGCGGTCTATTATTTTTCGCTTTCTCTGTTGATCTGTGACGCTCACGCGGGTGCAGGATCGACATTTCGAAATTACAAATCTCTGCAACGTTTCAGGGGGTTGGACTGATAGGGGACGGGGAAAGGGTGAATTTTTCGGGGTACTCATGGATTAATCGAATGCCGGCATGGGAATGTTACCGATAATGTTGAATAGCATTCATTGTTTGAGTAATTGTGGTATTAGTAATATGAGTTTTGTATATAATGCAGATTGGTAAGTATTATGTAAATTAGGAATGTATGAAGTTTGAGTTTTATCGTGAATCGTTATAGTTCGTATGGAGTTTCGTTTTGGATTGTGCTTTAAGCTTCTTAAACACCGAGGAGAAACAGGTCTTGGATTCGCATTTGTCGAACGTGAGTTTATGACGATTATCGGTTGGCTATTGAACTGCGAGATATACCTCGACGGTTTCAATAGGGATAAAATAGCGTTGCGACATTGAGAAAGAAATTGCTAAGAGAAGGATTAAACGAGAGTCATAGATACGTCGCGTATCTTTCTTCGATTTTGAGAGATTAAACGATATTCACAGCTCGTTTGCGTTCATGGTTCTATTCCGGACAATGTCGTGGATTTTCCATTCATAGTTCGTTTCCGACAAAGGAACGGGTCAAGAGATCAAGAGAGTACAAGTCTGCTTCTTCAAAGTCAGAGGAAAAGCTTGAATCCCGTTAGAAGATTCTCTTTTCAAGCAGAATTCAAGCTTTTTCTTTCAATGTTCACTACAAAGAAAGATTCAAGAGCATGAATCTACGCCTCTCTTAGCATTAGAAGCAAAGAGTTTATCGAAAAATCTCTTTCTTCCTTTATCGAGCTGTGTGAAGGGCATGGTCTACAAGCAAATCCACTTATGTGTATTTTGCTGTTCACGCTATTGAGCGTCCGTGATTGACAGTCGGCGCACTGGCAACTGATCCGGTAGAAGTATCAGTGGATACTGGTCTAGTATTTCGATAAGGGACATAAAACAGAAGCACTGAAAAATAGATACAGCTGGCACGAGAGGAATAGAATAAAGATATGCGTCAAGGTGCCCTGATTCGCCGATCGGTCCAAAGACGATCGTCAACGATCGCGAGTCCATTATCGACGATACTCGGAGGTAGGGCATGACTGATTAAAAGATACGAGTGTACAAGCGATATGTCGCCGCTCCGATTACCGACGGATAACGATTAATTAATGGTTGCAAGATATCGGACGACATCCGTCAATGTCCACCTTGCGAGCAATCGGTTATCACGACACTGTTTACGACGCTGAACCTTCGGTAGCCGATGATTGATAAACAGCCGAAACGCGTTGCGTTGGTTTACATATTTCCTTAGCTGTAATGTCGAGTCACTTTCGACCAGTCCTTCGCGAATGCTTAATTACGCGTGGACAATCGATTCCGTGCAGCGGAGTTGAGCAATCCTTGCCGATCGAGATTTTCGTTACAAGATATAAAGGTCAAAGATTTAATTATATCAGCCGATCGTTAATCTTTTTTATCTCGCATCTCTAACTTGTTTGTTATAATATTATTAAATAGCTATTATACTAACTATTTAATAAATAAAGCAGTTAGCGTTCGATTATTGAGTAGTATTATTAAAAATTGATCGGTGATATGTCACGAGACAATTTTAAATAAATCGTGGTTTTGAAATATGTATTACAAGTGGCCGGCATGGGTCACAAGTGACCCATGTCCACCGTTCGTTCGCAAAAGTTGTTGGAAGATCAACAACAATGATTCGAGTATATTCTCGGTGACGAAAATCGGGATCGATCGTATCGCGAAAGGACGAGGCCAAGAGGACTGATAAAGCGTAGACTGTCGCCGACTGTTTGGCTGGCACCCAGGGGATGCCGAAGCGTCTAAAGAATCGCGTCGACGCGATCGCTGCTCGGCGCCTGCGTGATTGTCTGGGAATTTTTATTCTTTTCTCGCCGATCTCTCCTCTCTCGCGATGAAAATTCATCGAGCCACGAGGGAACCAACACCGGCGTCTTAAAATACAAGTTCAACAATATTCGTGACGATCGACGGATTCCTCAAAGAACGATAACGAACGTCGATCTACGAATCGTCCAGGTATTTCATAACAAAAAGGTTTCTTCGCAGAAACCGATCTTTGATTTACATAGTTACGTTTGTCAACGTTTGATCTGATGCAAACAAAATTGTAAAGTTTATTTTTAATATTTAATGTTAAATATTAAATAATATTAAATAAATATATAATCTATATTAAATATTTAATATTGAATATTAAGTGACATTTAATATTCAACAGGGTACAATGTATTAATATTAAACAAAGTATTATAAAATAAAATATTAAAATATTAATATTATTTAATATTACGGTGTTGAAATACTAAAATATTAAGATATTGAAATATTAAAATAGTAAGATATTGAAATATTAAAATACTAAGATATTGAAATATTAAAATACTAAGATATTGAAATATTAAAATACTAATATATTAAAATACTAAAAGATTAAGATATTAAAATACTAAAAGATTAAGATATTGAAATATTAAAATAGTAAGATATTGAAATATTAAAATACTAAGATATTGAAATATTAAAATACTAAGATATTAAAATACTAAAAGATTAAGATATTGAAATATTAAAATAGTAAGATATTGAAATATTGAAATATTGAAATAGTAAGATAGTGAGATATTGAAATATTGAAATATTGAAATATTGAAATAGTAAGATAGTGAGATATTGAAATATTGAAATATTGAAATATTGAAATATTGAAATATTGAAATAGTAAGATAGTGAGATATTGAAATATTGAAATATTAAATGACATTTAATATTAAACAGAGTACAATATATTAACACGCGATACGTTAAAACAAAATACCTTTGCTCCACGATATGTGCGATTTCTCTCGAAGATAATCCCAAAAGATCTCGTTTATATTTGACCGGAGAATGTTGGATAGTCGCAGCGAGGAACATTCGAGTACGAAGTATCGGCGGCCAGTAAATATCGCCGCGGAGACAAGAAAGGAAGTTCTACGGTCGATTTTCATGCAAAGAAGTAGAAACCAGAAGGCCATCCGACTGAGTCACCCAGTTTTTCATAATTCTAAGGCTGCCCGTTTTTCTGTCCGCGGGAGCTGTGCGTGTGCATTCTCAAGTGACGCGCGGCGCACGCGTGCTGATCGATATTGGGGACACTTTTCCCCTGCCGCTTAATCTATCGATATCGGAAAGACGAGAAGACGACGCATGATTCATCTCACCGGGAACGTTACAAGCTGCGCATCGCGGGGAGCTATCGCGCAAGAAACGGACTTCTGGAAATTAACATTCGTTCTCGAAGTAAAAACACATATGTACGTTCGGCGAATAACAAACATATCTCACCGAGTTTGAAAAATAAGAACAAACACTCGGCAATTTATACGTACGAGGTTAATCATTTGCATAGACAGCTAAATGAACCATTGAACAAATATACTACGAAATAACAGACATTTCAATAACTCATTTCCTTTATCCCTAGGATCCATTCCTTACTCTCTTATACCTAAGGAATCTATAGGGTGTCCAAGGATAAGGGTTCTCCAAATAGATATGTAACGTTCAACACTATTTCAACAGAAAGTGTCAAATGACACCTTTCGAAACTAACTTGAAATTATTTTCGTAGTTCAATCATTTTCCCGCAATTGAATTTCAGATATTTCCTATAATGAATTTTATAATCGTTATTGTAAAAGTCGAAAAATACATCTATAGACTTTAATTGATCCATAATTCAGTTTGCGTATTGCCAAATCAATTTCGTTAATAACTCCTAGAAAAGTATCCGCAATTTTTTTAATAATCGCATAAAGAAGAAATCAGGAATGGCTCATTCTGACCATTTCGATGATCTAGTGTTAACCTCTTCCCCTACGATTTATTTCTCAGCTATGATCGATACAACCACTTTATTCTCAATAATTTATTAGAAAAGGAAAAATCTTGATGCTTATTCTATGCATACATTTACTCCTAAGGTTAACAATTGATAATGGAAAAATAGTATTTAATTTATATTTAAGAACAATAAATAACACATTTGTCAAATTCAGTTTAAAATTTTGGTCATGAGTTCGACACGATATTGTAGGTCAATGGGTTAAACAACGAAACCTTAGAATGCCCCAGTGAACGTTGAAATTCGCATTTCTTCGAACACCCTGTATCCTTCACTAGGAAATCGTTTCGCAAAGAAGCATCTGCAATTTTCTTAATAATCGCGTAAAGAAGAAACCAGGAATGGCATTTTGACTCGTTCGATGATCTAATGTTAAACAAAAGTTTAGAATGCCCCAGTGAACGTTGAAATTCGCATTTCTTCGAACACCCTGTATCTTCCACTAGGAAATCGTTTCGCGATACGCGAAACGGCGAGTTACAAAAGCATCGCGGGAAGGAAAGGTAGGAAACGGCGAGCGAGGGGGAGGGAGAGGAGGGAGAAAGAGCGAGCGAGAGCGAAAAGAGGAAGGAGGGAGAGAGACAGAGAAATGGCGACCGAAGTCACCGCGCGCGATATACACACAAGCCGCGGCAAAAGGTGGGGATCTATTCATAGGAATGACTCATGTCGGAGATGACGCCGCGAATAGTCGGCCAGAATTTGCGCACTACACTATGCCACCGGGCTCCTCTCGTCCCTGATTCCGTTTGCCAAACGCCGATACGTTTCGCGAGGCTCGCTCGCACGACTCCCCTCCGTGGCTCCTCGACTTTTCCCTTTCCTTCTAAAGCTTCCGTAACTTTTCAACCTCCTGACCGGGACGGAAGTCTTCCAACGCGCTCCCCACCCCCTCTGCCGGGTTGCAAGATTCGACTGCAGCCGCCATTCGATGCCCTTTTTCGGACCGCGAGCTGCAGCCCGCGTTTATTGATACTTCGATGCGAGTTTTTGGCCGAGTTCCTCAGGGCAGTCCTGGGGTCACTCGGTTTAAGGTTGCGATCAACTACGTAAGGGCTTTAGCTTTTCAATTTTAGAGGGTTCACGTGGAATCGCAAATTTTAAACGGCATTCGAATTTCAGATCTTGACCTCCGGATTTCAAATTTCGAAGCTGAAATTTCGAATTTTAAACTGGGGAATTCGAATTTCAGATCTTGACCTCCGGATTTCAAATTTCGAAGCTGAAATTTCAAATTTTAAACTCGGAAATTACAATTTCAGATCTTGAACTCCGGAAATGTGAAATTTGAAATTGTAAACTGCGGAGGTCAAATTTCGAATTTTAAACTGGGGAATTTGAATTTGAAATTTTAAACTTCAGACTTCCAGTTTCAAACCTCAGATTTCAGATTTCGAACGTTCACACTTCAGGTTTCAAGCTTGAAACTCCCGATTTCAGGTTTCAGGTTTCAGATTTCGAACTTGAAACTCCCGACTTGAAATTTCAAGTTTCCAGTTCCTTTTTCTACAATACAATCGAAGGATTCCGAAGTTCAAGCGAGGTTTAAGCAACTTCCGTTCCCAACGACAGAAGAAAACGTTAAACTCGCAATCGATGTATACCACTGTCACCTGTATCGATAATTACCACGCCAGCAGTAGTGTCTCTGACAAATACGAAATTCTGTGTTATCTATCATATTACGTATTTGTCCCATTGAGGAAGTAATTAAGGAACGAGTCAAAAAACATTTAGAATCCGACTAGATGGTTATCTGACTGTTATCATATTACAGAGAGAAACGAAAAATATAACGTATTAATACTCATCAACACGTTGAATGCTA